AGTAGTAGTAGTAGTAGTAGTAGTAGTAGTAGTAGTAGTAGTAGTAGTAGTAGCCTCATCATTATCATTATCATTATAATCACAATCATTATAATCATTATCATTATTACCACAATCATTATAATCACAATCATTATAATCACAATCATTATAATCTTTATCATTATTACCACAATCATTATAATCATTATCATTATTACCACAATCATTATAATCACAATCATTATAATCACAATCATTATAATCTTTATCATTATTACCACAATCATTATAATCATTATCATTATTACCACAATCATTATAATCATTACCGTTATTATCACTATCATTATTTTTATTAGCATTATTACCAGTATCATTATTATCAGTATCATTATCATTATCATTATCATTATCAAAATCATCATCACAATCATCACCACTACGTCTCGCCACACGACCTGTGACCCACGTACCCCCGAGAAGCCGTGAGCGAAGAAGCCAGGTGGACTGTTCCAGTTGATGGAGTCGACGTGGAAGAACCCCACACAGATGAAGGCCAGAACCACCAGGCCACTCAGTGACGTCAGCGCGAAGGTCACCATCGCATACCGCTGTTGGAGAGATGGGAAGACAGACGGTCAGACAGATAGACAGACAGACAGACGGACAGACAGAGAGGCGGACAGACAGACAGACGGACAGACAGACGGACAGACAGACAGGAAGCCCACACAGATGAAGGCGAGCACTACCAGACCACTCAGCGACGTATCAGCGAAGTTGACCATCGCATAGCGCTGTCAGAGAGATGGTGGGGGAGACTCATTGATAGATAGATTGATTGATAGACAGACAGACAGACTGACAGACAGACAGACTGACAGACAAACTGACAGACAGACGTTGGGGGGGGATTGATTGAAGGACAGATTGACTGATGGACAGACTGATTTTGATAGATAGACAGACAGACAGACAAACAGACAGACAGACAGACAGGCAGACAGACAGACAGGTAGACGGGCAGAGAGACTGGCAGACAGACAGACAAATAGATAGACAGACGGGCACGCAGACTAATAGACATGAAGACAGTTTGTTAGACGAGTGGACAGACGGACAGACAGAAGGACGGACAGATAGACAGACAGACAGAGCAAGGTTCACAATTGCACACTGTTGCTAGAAAAACATGGACAGTGGTCCAGATAGCTGTACCCAGGCAGAAAGACTGACTGACAGGTTTTGGGGCAGATAGAGGAGCAAACAGATAGACTGACAGACTGACAGAAAGTCAGAGAGAGAGAGAGAGAGAGAGAGAGAGAGAGAGAGAGAGAGAGAGAGAGAAAGAGAGAAAGAGAGAGAGAAAGATAGAAAGAGAAAGAGAGTGAAAGAGGAGGAGAGAGACAGAGATAGAGAAAGAGAGACAGAGAGGCAGAGAGACAAAGAGAGAGAGACAGAGACAGAGGGACAGAAAGAGAGAGAGAGAGAAAGAGAGAGAGACAGAGACAGAGACAGAGAGAGAAAGAGAGCGATTGAGAGAGCTTGAGAGAGATTGAGGGAGAGACAGAAGACAGGAAGAGTGGAAACAAGCAGCCTCCTTAATGACCCAGATAGTGCCGATGGGGGCCTAAAACAAAGATAGTAAAAACACGTACAGTCAGTCACTATATGATGACTCACCTTGATGGTGATGAAGCTGAGGAAGATGGCGGCGATGACGAGACAGCAGGGGAAGAAGTCGGGGTCAGAGGTGAACATTTGACCTTCTACCTCCACGTCTTGTACCACGCTCATGTTGCTGGGGGAAGGAACGAAGGAATGAAGGAATACATGAATGAATGAATGAATAGATGAATGGATGAATGAATGAATGAATGAATGAATGCATAAATGAATGAATGAATGGATGAATGAATGGATGAATGAATGGACGAATGGATGAATGGATGAATGAACGAATGAATGGATGAATGGATGAAGGAATAAACGAATGAATGAGTGAATGAATGAAGGAATAAACGAATGAATGATGAATGAATGAATGGGTAAATGAATGAATAAAACAGTTGTAAAAAAATCAGTCATTCAGATATTCCTTCATTATCTATCCAACCACCCAACACTCCACCCATCTCTCCCTGCTTCCCTCCATCCATCAATTCACCCTTCCACCCATCTGTTCATAGTGTTGATAGGGGCGTTAAACCTATACTATTTCACCATTTCACCATCTGTTCATCTTCCCCCCTTCTCTCCTTCCCTCCATCTATACATCCACCCATCCTCTCATTTGTTCATCTATACACCCAGCAATCCATCCATCCATCCATCCGTTCGCCCGCAAGTCCTTTTCTGAACTTTATACAATATCTTCTATTTATAAACACACACACACA